CCCGATTGCCTAGCAGAGGGGCGGTATATAAATAAAAATTATTATTATATTATTATTATGAGGGAAGGCTGCGCCCCACCAGAAAAAGGGCTGAGATGCTCCTCTCCTGGGTACCATCTGCTGTATCATTGGCCACTGATACAGATCCCATAGCAACTAGGTGTGTCTGTGCTCAGCACTGAAAGGACTCCAAGGAGGCCAAGGATGACACTTAGTTCTGAAACCGAACACTGGTGCCCTCTTCAAACTTACTTATTTTTCTCATCAACCATTTTTATAAAAGAAGAATTTGAAGATCCTAACATTCTGGCAGACACTGAAACACTTTTGTGTGTATGAAAAGGAAGCTCCCTTTTCCACAGAAAGCCTCATGGCACTGGACTGATTGTACCCCAGCTATTCTGCCCTGTTGCAGATGAGGAGAGTAGCCAAAGTCCTCCCCCACCCCAAGTCCTCATAGCCTCAGATGGATTGCTTGAGTTGGGGTCTCCTTCCCTTGTTCTGCCTGCAACATCAGTCCCACTTAGCACTGGGGGGCCCTCCTCCTTCTCCTCAGTGACCCAGCCTTTTCTTTTCCACAGGAACCAAAGCCCAGCCTGCTGACGCTGGTACCTCCCTTGCTGATCTGCCACGCTACGGGGCTCGCCCTCTACTTTGTACCCATCATGGGGCAGGAGATGGCCACCCAACACTTTCCCGTCTCTGAGTCGGAGGCCGTGGTGCTCACAGTCATTGCCATCTACGTGGCGGGGCTGGCGCTGCCCCACAACACACACAGGTGACTGGAGATGCAGTAAGATATGGTCAGAGAGGCGCCAGTGTGGCATCTTTGGCACAGGCTCATTCAGGTGATGCTTCTGAGTGCCATGTTTTGGGAGTGGAGGGAGAGAACGGGTCCTTTCTAGCTGCTGGGATAGTGACAGGCGGTCTCTGGGCTATCCTGTCTCCTGGGCGGAGGGTCCTGTGACTTGAAAAGACAGACTGACCCCCGTATTTCCGCCCCACAGGGTCCTGATGGGCTCAGGAAGTGACCGTGGTTGGATGACGCTGAAGCTGGTGGCCCTGCTTTACTTGGCGATGCAGCTGGGTTGTATTGCCCTCATCAACTTCTCCTTGGGCTTCCTGCTGGCCATCACCTTGGTGCCAGTGGCTGCGGTCATCCAGCCAACAGGGCCCAAGTAGGTATTTCAAGGGGGAAGGGGGAGTTCCCTCCTCCATTCTCCCACCCTGGGAGCTGAGCCTGGGTTTGTCTCAAGGTGGCATCTGTGAGATGGGAATGAATGTGGTCCCAAAGGCTGGGTTCTGCTTCTGCTGTGATTTACCAATTGTGCTTTTATTATGCCCATTTGTCAGTTCTCTGGCCACTGTCTTATAAAAATATAAGAAACAAAACAGTGGAGAGGGAAAGCGGCACATGATATAAACTAAGGGAAAGCCAGTAGACTGACCATTCTGCCTCCCTCCAGGCTCCAGCCACAAACAGGACTGGGCCTGTGCAGACTTGAAACTTGCTGGAGAATGTTTGGCACTTCCATTTTTAAAAGACAGTTTCTTGCAGCACACAGCCCAGGGGGTGACTGTTCTTTTAATAGCCTCACTAGTTACTGCGCCTGGTAACACACACACACACACACACACACACACACACACACACACACAGAGCTAGTCAGGAATCTGTCTTACATGCCCTGATTGCCCTTGCAAGCTGCATTCTTTGCCAGCCTCTTGGGAGCTTTACATGACTGCAGTCCAGTTAGGGCAAAGCAGGGCCTGAACAATGGCAGCAAGACCCATTTTCTCTGGGTAGGGATGCAGCTGATGATAAAAAAATAAATACCAGATACTGGATATCAGTCCCCCTCTAAACAGAGCCAGGCCCAGGAGGATCCCAGTGCTGCCCACTTGGCCCTCCAGGGAGGAGGCTGGCTCCCTTCAATGGCTGTCGCAAAGCTCCCTTCAGAAGAGCATCATTCCCTACCCACTTTCTCCCATCTTGCGTGGATTAAACCTTGGCATCACTGCCCTTGTCCTTCCCCCAGCTCCATTTGCATGCCCCATACCTCTTGCATATTTCCTCTCATCCTCCCTGGGACTAGCAGAGTGAGGGGAAGAGGGTCTGGACTCCTAGGTGGCCTTCTCCCTGCCACTTCATACAAGTATTGCTTGGGGAAGGAATCCTGGGGTCTCCTAAAGGATAGAACAAAAGTCCCCACCCCCACTTCCCAGGGATCTTTCTCCAGAAAGGTGTGGAGCCACCTAAATGCTTTATCCTCAGTGTTGTTTCAGCTGGGTGATTCAAAAGAATACTGTAGTCAGTTCTGTTGAAGGGCACTGAAGGAACCAGGAGAACGAACAGTGAGCCCAAGGCTGCTTCTGTCCCCGAAGTGGATTTGTAGCTCACTTGGGATGGATTATGTAGGACAAGGGTGACCTGACATAAAACACTGCTGTATCAAGTGGGGCTGCTGGGGGTTTTAATCGGTTATCAATGGCCTCTTTCAAGGGTGTGCCATCCCAACTCCAGCGCCCACTTTGCTGTCCCTTGGCAACTGTTAGGTCAGCAACATCTGGCCACTGAGCAGGTGGGTGTCTTCAGGGAGCTGTTTATGAGGTTCCCTCTCCCTTAATGTGGTTTTTCAAAGAATGTTTTTGTGCTTGGGCAAACATGGGTTTCTTGCAAATCTGCTAGTATTTCTTTTTTGCCTATATGGGGTGGGGGATGTCCTCGAGGGGATGTGTGAGTGAACGCCAGCCATTCCCAATTGATCTCTGAGGGGAAGGATGTGTGGATCAGAGCTAGGAGTTCATGCTGCGTCTCTTCCCTGAGCTCCCTGACATGGCTTTCTTCCCCCAGGTATCTCTATGCGGTGCTGCTGGTGCTGGT